TTCACACTGGCAGGGAGTTGGTTTAGATGGGATATGAGGAAGAAATTCTTCCCTGTGAGGGTGGTGAGGCCCTGGCACAGGTTTCCCAGAGAAGCTGTGGCTGGATGAAGCACTGAGGAACCTGGGATAGTGGAAGATGTCCCTGCTCATAGTGGAGGGGTTGGAACTGGATGATCTTTAAGGTCCTTTCCAACTCCAGCCATTCCATGATTCTCTGATATTCCTTTGTTAATGCAATTCCCTGACTCACAAGTAACAGGGGGAGAAATGGATCTGCTGCCATCCACTGTAACCAACAGACTTAGATAGGAAATTACTGACAATGTGGATTAGTAAAAGTTAAGTTTCATTTATCAGTAACAATCACTTCACTGCTTTACAAAACTCCCTACCTTAGCATGGTATCATAATCCTCAATGAAGCCCGAGGAGCTCCAAGGAAATTCCTCACTGTCTGAGTCTGACTAATGCTGCTGACTTCCAGTAAGAGCATACACAGGCAAAAATATCTGCCAGACTGCAACCAACATTTAAAGTGATCTTCAAAATTAATAAATTCAAGGAATACAGTTAGATAATATAAAGTATTTTATTTTAGCTTTTTTTTAAAAAATACAACATTCTAAAAAACATTTCCTTATTTTCCTTACTGTAATAGTGCTGTCTAGACTATGTTAATGCCAGGAGTTTAGGTATTAAAGAATTAAAATTATCACAAACCAACATCTCTGAATATAATACATCAAAAAGCTGGTGGCCCAGATATCACTTTGATAAAATCACGTTATTATTCAGAAGCACTTAAAGATGCCTAGAAATTTGCAGAATCAAAACTCATCCTAACATCAGACACATCTGTAACAAGAGACCTCCAAAATGGGTGATTCCAGGATGCTGCCCACCCTCTGTTTGTCAGCAAAACCCTTTCCACAGTCTTTTCCCATGTGGCACTTTGTCACTGACCATTTAACTGCTGGTAGCACTGGGATGGAGAGGTTTGACTCTTGCCAATCTGGAGAGGCCGAGTCTAAGGCAGTGAGTAGGTGACTTAACAGGAACACATTTCACAGAGGCATTACTGCTTCCTGATGGAGCTGGAGATGATTCCAAAACAAAAAAAAAAAGGTATTAGAATTCTGAAGTGGAAAAAATATCATATCATATCACTGTTGTCTTCTAATATTTTCCTAGCAGGACAAAAGAAGCATTCTGAAGAGAATGCAAAAAGGTCTGAACCACAAAGGCACGTGCAAATCACTCACCAGGGATTCCTCCCTCTTGGAGCCAGTGCAGCAGGAATGGTGCACAAGTTAATTACCAGGTTAATTACCCAGCCACACACAGCAGCAACACTGGGAAACTGTTCCCAGTGTCCTGGGCATTTGCAGGCACTCCATAGAGAAACACTGAACACTACTCCAACGGAGGGACGAGGACTTTAGAGAAAGGAGCCAAAGAGAAAGAACCATGTACAGAAAAGAGTAAATATGAAGAAAAATCAAAGAATTAAGAGTCAGCAGCAGCATGCTCAAACACCTTGAGAAAATAAAGCTTTTAAGCATTTGCTTTGTAAGAACAGCTATAATATTCCAGCATTATGTTAATATTATTTGTTTAGAACAGATAATGATTTAGCACATACCAGAAATAAAGAATGCTCTAAGTAAGAGAGAAATGGACACGAAAGGATCTTTTGATTAAGTTGTGATCCACAGTTTGGAAAACATTTTATAATTGCCATGCAGATAAAGGAGTTATGGATAATGTAAAAGAAGCATAGATACAGCTTTTCTTCTCTCTTTTTTGTTCCAAATCTGTCCAAAGAAAATCTTT